CTACCTTTGGAAAATAATACCAACTAATTTAATAATTAAGAATCGCCATCATTGAGTACAACAATCAGCCAAATGCACTATTGTAACACCAAGCACTGGCCATTTCAGATATTCATGGGGATTTAATTAAGCTGCAATATTCTGTATCTTGAGAGAAAACAAATTTTATCAAAAAGTAGGTGTTTTTCTCCTTTTTGATTGAAATGGGTGTGAAAACTGCACCTTTAGCTCATCCAAGAGGACCTGAGGAGAGAGGGGCCAGTGGGTCCTACCTGGTTCTACTCCAGAGGATCTTCACAGAGTGATGTCTCACCCCAGAACAACTGTTTTTATATATTCTGTGGATGACAGAGCTGCCACAGACCGGCTGGCCAAGGACATGGATTGCCACAGCAATTCCCAGCAGCTGAAATGTCACTTCCCAGCAGCTGATGGGAGATGGTGACCTCTTGTGATCTTCCTCCCCTTTCCCTGGAACATGAGTTGGCCCTTTCCAAAAACGCCCCGGTGTTTGCCCAACACATTGATCACTCATGGCTGGTGGAAAACTGCCAGAAAATAACCTTGTCTGACCCAGAAACAGGGCAGCTGAGAGGCTTTTTAAAAATTTTTATTCCATTTTCAGCCTCATGAGAAGGGTGAGACAATACGGATGTTGTAATTCAGGCCATCACAATCAGAAGTTGACTATTTCCTAATTACAGTACATTATAAGTGTTTCTTGGCCACACCATGCTGTAGATGCCTTAAAGCCAATCATGTAAAACTTCTCCTTGTGGATCCTACTACAATGCATCTTTTATAGTTCTATATCTCCAAAGTATCTAGTCTTATTTGCAAGGCCATCTTTTGAAACTTTTTTCTAGCTCCATTTCTCTCTCAGCAATATCTGTCCTTTTCCATGGCATTTCTAAGTCAGCATTTCTTATCTCAAAGTTTGCATATGGATGTGTACTGTGTGGGCCTTCTGTCAGGCCCTGAGAACTCTCTACAAATCCATTTCCCACAGAAAATGATGGCCTGGGACACACAGGGTGGGATCCAGGGGGGACCTAACTCTTCAGGGCTGTCTCTGGAGCTGACAGATGCATCCACAACCCCGTAACAGCTGAATTAGGGAAGCTCAGATTTTGCAATGACTCTCCTGTGTGAAATACAGGTGAGACCCCTCTGTGTTCATAGAATCCCACAATGGTTTGGGTTGGAAGGGACCTTAAAACTCATCCCATTCCACACCCCCTGCCATGAGCAGGGACACCTGCCACTATCCCAGGCTGCTCCAAGCCCTGTCCAACCTGACCTTGGACACTTCCAGGGATCCAGGGGCAGCCACAGCTTCTCTGGGCACCTGTGTAGGGCATCAGCACTCTCATGGAGAAGGATTAGAAAATCTCATCTGACCCTGCCCTTTGGCTTTGGGAAGCCATTCCCTGTGTCCTGTCGCTCCATCCCTTGTCCCAAATCCCTCTCCAGCTCTCCTGGAGCCCCTTTAGGACATGGAAGGGGCTCTGAGGTCTCTCTGGATCCTTCTCTTCTCCAGGTGAACAGCCCCAGCTCTCCCAGCCTGGCTCCAGAGCAGAGGGGCTCCAGCCCTGGGAATATTTTCTTGACCTCCTCTGGGCTCTCTCCAGCAGGTCCATGTCCTCATGTTGGTGACTCCAGGTAGGATGTCACAAGAGAAGACTGCCCTCCCTTGACCTGCTGGTCACTCTATCATTCTCATGTATTTGCCACATCTGTGTTCTGCTTGTCCCACAGAAAATATTTATGTTTGGATAATTAATTCCAGGGAAGCACCCATCTCCACACAGCCTTTGTGATTCCAGGTGGACAAAGGAAACAACTTTCACAAAAATACTTTGGTCAAATATGTGCCCTCAGAGGATCTGGACTAGAGAAACTGGGGCAGCACTGGTTTAACCTGAACCCTGAAGGCACCTGTGAGCCCAGATGTTGTGTTTTCATTGTCATACCAGCAAGAGACCAGGAAAAAAGCCCAACATTCCTGTGCTTCAAAGAGCATTCGCCCATTCAGGTCTCTCCCAGAAGATGGCAATGAAGAGCTAATGCAGAAATTCCCCTCCAGCAACCTTCTTCAGTGAAGAGCACAGAAATTATTCTGACAGCGGGGTTTATGGATTTTTTCCCCTTAATTATACTGATGTCTTTTGATTCCTAGTGCTGATATGTGAGTGAATGTTGTTTTCTGACAGGCCAGACTCAAAGCCCTCCCTGCTCTGCAGTCTGCTGTGGAATCCTGGGATGGACAAGAAACCAGTCACTGCTCTCAAAATCAGATTGACAGGACTCAAGGAAATGGAATGAAGCTGAGCTGGGGAAGGTTCAGGCTGGATATCAGGAAAAGTTCTTCACCCAGAGGGTGGCTGGGCACTGAACAGGCTCCCCCAGAAAAAATACAGCTATTTAAAATTTCACTCCTGCATAATTTAATTGGAAGAATGTGCATATTTGCTTTACAATATGGAAGAACATTTGTTTCTCTTATTTGGATTTTGATTTTGTTATTTTTTAAAAAAAACTACAAAAACATAAATAACTCAAGTGATGAAATGTAAAGAAGTGGAATTAGACACTGTGAATATTAAATGTATAAATGAGTTTTTAGAAGCACAGAGCTCTGAACTGAGATTTTGGAGTAACCTCCTGATAAGGAGGTTAAAATAGGATAAAATTATTATTTCTTCCTGCTTTTCCACTTTGTGCATGTGCCACCTGCCCAAAGTGGAACAAAACAGATCCAAGCTCAAATATCAGGGTTTGGATAAGATTTTTAACTAATTAATTTTATTTGTTCTTATGATTGATGGAAAACTTCCTTTAAATATCTTAAATACTATCATTACTTGCTTTAATTACGACATACAGTTATTGACTCTAAGCATTATTTTGGCCACTCATAATTACAAAAGTGATACATTTTACATGTTTCTTGGCAGTTAAACACATGCAACTAAAGAATGAATATTGCAAGACAATTAATATTGCATCCTGGAAGCATTTTGACTGCTATATGTCTTACTCAGTTCCCTTTTCCTGGGGTACTGCAAAGGACATTGTGTAGAGCCCCCCAAAATTATGTTCTCCAAGCATAAACATAGATTTGTATGCCTGTGCATATAATCTATAAATATCCAAGAGAAACAAAGGCCGAATTTAATAAACTGCTATTTTATCTTTGCTGGAGAACATGCAAATAGAAAAGAATAATCCAGATATTCTAACCTGTGATTTACTCAGGAATTGCAAGGATATTAATTTCAGTAATTGTTTATTTAAACATAGACAAATTATATAATGATATTTCTTACTCTCCTGTTTCTCTACAGCCCTCATAGCAAATCCACACTAAGGTAGATATATTTATATATAAAATATTGTTAAAATGTATATATGGAAGGACTCTTCTAAATTCCAGCTGATTATTTATCACTCAGCACACCACAAACTTCATTCCCAGTAAACACCCTGGTCTCAGTTCCTTTGCCCACATTTAGACCAGTGCTACTTGAGATGTCCCTGTGTCCTATCCCTGCTCTTTGGCTTGCTCTCCTCTCTCCTGACCCTTTTCCATGAATCCCAGGAAGAGATCTCAGCCAGTCCAGAGCACCCTAAATCACTCTATGGCATGAAGGCCACTGTGTTAAACCTTTTGTGTCCATATGTCACCTCAGCTTACCTGTGACAATGGGATGTCCCCAGACACTTGAAACAATGAGGATCCTTCACCTTCTCTCTGCCATCCTCTTCCTCCAGCATTCCCTGTGCAAATGACAGGAAGGATGACACACCTTTGGTACAATTACCCAACGTTTGTCCTCACAGCACCTCTGCACCTGGCAAATAATGCCATGACATCCATGCAGGAACAGCCCTGCTGTCCACCCACTGACCTTGGACAGCCCTGTGGAAAACTGCCCAGACATGACTCAACTAAACCCTGCCTGGAAATCCCATCTGCTGTTGGGTATTTTCAGCAGTGATGTGGAGTGAGCTGCCTCTGCTCCCTTTGGGAATTGAACCTCTCCCCCAACAAAGACCCCCCCCCAGCTCAGGGAAGGCACAAGCAACCAGGGTTGGCCAGCTGCTTCCAAAACCCTGGAAATATGAGGATAAAAGTGCTGCTTGGAGATCCAGAGAGCAGAAATTGAGTTTTATATCTCTAAAGCATCAGTTATATTTATCTGCACTTCCCTTACTGCATTGTAAAGCCGTGATTTATCCCTTATGGAGTTGGCCCACCTGGAAACAAACCCTACATTTTGCTGACCTGAAGGAAAACATCTGAGCTGCCTTTTCATTCAGGACACTTGAACAGCTGTAAAGCAGTTATACCTTGAGGAAGATATTCCCAGCACTGAGATTTCTTAAAATCTACATAGTTTTCCACAGCCCACTCTTGTTCTCTTCCTTACGCAATTTTGAGATCCCTCCTAGGCATCAAGGTTTCTGGTTGTCCTGGCTCCTTGGTCCTGAAGATCTGTAAAGCACCACAGCAGTCACCAGGGGAAGCTCATGAAATTACCAGTGATTATTTTCCAGGGAAGGAGAGGAAATTTTTCACTGTGAGGGTGGTGAGGCCCTGGCACAGGTTGTCCAGAGAAGCTGTGGCTGCCCCATCCCTGAAGGTGTTCAAGGCTGGGATGGAAAGGGCTCTGAGCAACCTGGGATGGTGAAGATGTCCTCTGCCCATGGCAGGGGGTGGAAGTGGATGAGATTTAAGGTCCCTTCCAGCCCAAACCATTCTGGGATTCTACAACTAAGGAGCCCTCAGGACCAGGAGCACTCATGGCATGTCCCAGGTATTTTACATCACCCTGTGGTCTAACGTGACTTGCACAACCTTGTATGGGTTGCACAAAGATCAGGGGCTCTGTGGTGAAAGCAGTTTCAAAGTGGACCTTCCTTTCTCATTGGAAGAAACAAAATACAGGCTGGAAAAAGCTTTTTTTTCATTGGCCAATGACTTCATTGGCTCATCCCCAACCCTTTTTAGGGTGGGACGTGTTTGGGACGGGTGCATCCACGGGAGAATAGAAGTGGCAGCGATCCTCCACCTTCTCCTCGGGTAACTCTGCCTGGCTCTGGAGAGCCACCCTCACCTCTCCATCTTTACAAACCTCCTTTCCTTTCATCAATCTCAAGTTTCTGCTTTGATTAACCCCTTCCCTCTCTCTACTCCAGCAAGTGCCTCCTGTTATATGTGTTCTGTAGAGCCATGGATTAGCTGCTTGCAGGGCTTCCAAGAGGTCTCTGGGTTTGCTTATCTCCAAGAGGAGCAGAGACCTGGGAACCTTCCCTTGAGACACCAGACAGAAATGTCTGTTTTACTCCAGAAACAGACACTCAGCCAGCACAGTGGCTGAGCTTTGCATTTTGAGCCACATGTCTTGCCTGTAACATTTTGACTGAGCTGCTACCTGAATTAATATTGAAAAGATAAAGATGTCTTTTTTAGACTTTCCTAAGGATTAAGACTGAGTCATTCTCTGAACTCTTTGTGTACTTCAATAAGTGGAAGGGGGATAATTTGTGGGCCTATGCTGGTAACAGAATAACCTTCCTGGGGCTGAAGAGATCTGGGATATCTTTTTTTTTTCACTGGAGTAAAGCCAAAAACTAGCACCAAAATAGCATAGAATCCCAGAATAATTTAGGTCTTGAGCTAATCCAGGAGTTTCTAGTCTGAATCTGTGCTTAAAATGGTACTAATTAGGTCAGATTAGAGATGCACTCCTTGAAATTTCTAATATTTCCAAGGATGAAGTTTTGACTCTGTTCTTTGTCCAAAACCACTGGACAAAGATTTTGGCTTTGGTGTCTTCGGGCACATTTTTTAATCATCATCTTCTGGTCAGGAGGGAATCCTCTGTCCAGTGTTGTTCAACCTTGTGCTCTCTGCTCAGTGCAGGTAAAGAACCCACATCCCAACTGTGGCCATGAGGATCCTTCACATGCTCCTGGTTGTCCTCTTCCTGATGCTCCAAGGAGCTGCAGGTAAGGAGTGAGGGGAGTAAAGAGGAAGGCTGCATTTTCTTTGGATCACTTTCATAGTAAATGACTCTTCTCTTTGTGCTGTACAGCACAATTGTTTCCTAGGCTAAACAACCCTTGTTTGATGCAAAATGGACTCTGCTTCCGAGGGATTTGTCGCCGCCCCTATTACTGGATTGGAACGTGTAGCAATGGATATTCTTGCTGCAAAAGGTGAGTAGAAATGCAGGGATCTCTATGGGAATGGCTCATATCCTCATTATTTTTTCTCCAGAGCAACATCTTAGAGGCACAGCTCCTGCCACCTGTCTCACTTCTCTGGTGCCAAACCTGCTGGCAGAGAGGGGGAATTCACATGCCATGGCAGCCTCTGCTCTGATGTCAGGAGATAAGGAGAACATCTCAGCAGAAAACCTACAGGTGGGTAGCCTGAGACTCTCTATTCTTCATGCAGGGGGTGGAGAAGCTGAAGATTCCCTGGATTCACCTTGGAAATCCTTCCTGCTTCTACTGAATGGCTCCTGGGAATCACCCTGATCCCATCGCTCCTGGTGGCACCAGTTCCTGCTGCAATGAAAAGCTGTCACAATCTTCCCTTGCAATGAAGCAAACACCACAAATATGAACCAGGCAACACTGTGGAAACTATTTCTTTCCTCTCCTTTAATAAAATCAGTTATGGTGGCATTCATGTGGTTGAACCTCTGGTGATTCTTGGTAGGGAAAGAGGGAAACATTTCCCCTGTGAGGGTGGTGATCTCCTGGCACACGCTGCCCAGAGAAGCTGTGGCTGCCCCATTCCTGAGAGTGTCCAAGGCCAGGCTGGACAGGGCTTGGAGCAACCTGAGATAGTGGAATTTGTCCTTGCTCTTGGGTTGAGATGATTTTTAAGGTCGTTTCCAACCCAAATCATTCTGCAATTAAACAAATAAGGAGATCTCAGTACCAAAATGAGCAGACATTGCAGTTGCAAAGTGGACCTTCCTTTCTCGTTCCAAGAAACAAAATATAGGCTGGAATGTGTGGTTCTGTCTCTTTTCCTTGCCCTCATGGCCTAGCAGTGTAGATAAAGCCAAGATTCCTCCAGATGTTTCCTTCAGAGGGCCTGGAAGCATCTGAGAAAATTTCTGAGTAGACCTTATGCACAGGAAAACCGGGAACATTTTGAATCATATCAGCAACACGAAACAGGAAAAAAAAGTTTAAAAAAGGGAAAGAGTAAAAAAATATATTCCCAAGAGTTATGGGTGTTCAACGTAGTGATGTGGTTGTTATCTCTTCAAAAGCAGTTGCTGAACAGTCACAACAGTGCTCAGTGAAATATGTTACCAATCTCAGATGGTTTGGACTCTTAATGACTTTCTGGGTGGGCTTGGAGAGGCGACAACATATTTTTAAAAACCCTCTGAAGAGCAAATTCTGGCTCTGTGAGAGACACAGCTGCCACTTGTGTTGTTCTGCAGAATTAGTGCTCGTGGCTCTTATTGCAAAACAACTCCTCCTGCAATGTTGCTGGATTTCTTCTCTCCCTACTGTTACTTCTATGTTTTATTTCTGAAAATCTTATTGCAAAAGTCTATTAAAAGTCTGTAGAACAGTCTCTCTCCATTATACATCGAGGAAGAGCAGTGAAAATAGTTTGTACTTTGATATTTCCTTTTAGGATATCTGAAATTTGGTGAGGTTGCTCCCACCAGTTTTCTCTAGAAAATTACAAAGATTCTTTGAATATTAGAAACTGTGGTGCATCTTACCTGTGCCAAGGAGCTTTGATCACTCACACATCACTGCATCACTGCCAGTCACATTGTGGTTCTCAAAAAAGAAAGAGGACTCTGCCCTTGTACCCCAGTACATTTAATTAGCTATCAGGTCAAAAGATGGAGCCAGAATTGTTCATGCAGATGTTAATATCATCATTTACTCAAGACAGCTGCATAATCAATAAAGTATTGACCTTGATTAAATACATTTTGTATACATTTTGACACACTTTAATTAGGGGTAACACTAGTGAAAGATATCCCTAATATTTCCTTTTTTATTTTCAAGAGAAAAATACTAGAAGCAGAGTTTGAGGTTGTCCTTTTTGCTCCTAATTGCCTCATCTTCTGTGCTAGATACAAACTCCTAAGGTGCAGATAAGATCCTCCTTCTTCTCTGGAAGGTGATCTTGGTAAAATTACTCAAACATTGTGATTTTAAAAGGGTGAAAGACATTTCTGCTCCAGACACTTTGTTACCTCCTTTGGGGACATTTCCCTTTGGAGTATATCCCACCTGCATCAGTCACAGCAGCTCCTCAGCACTGTATTATTGCACAAAATGCTGACCCCACTATAATAATTGAAAGTGTTTGGTTGTCTCTTGCTCAGAAGAACAGGAGCTGCAGATGGGGATGGAAAGATTGTCCCCTCTAAGAGCTACAACCCAAAAATCTTGCTGAGTTCTGCCAAAGGTGCTCCACCCCTCCTCTGCTTCTCCCTTCCCCTTGTCCAGGCAGAGGTTTTCTGATGGCCTGGATGGGACTGTGACCATGTGAAATTTATATTAAACAGGGCAAAGGATGTCCAGTGGTAAAGCTAAGCCCTTGACATTACTTGCATATAAGATCTTACAGACAATAAAAATTAACTATGTTTCCTTGAGGAATTATGTTGGGTGAGAGTAACAGTTGGCAAATTAACCACCAACACAGCAAGAGGTGAAGCAACTGCAACTTTTGCAATTTTATTCCCCCTGCTTTTCAGTTTTATGGCCGCATGTTGGCAGACACACCAGAAATCCAATTTACCATTTTTCCTATTGCAGAAACAATTCACATACAAAATTAACTAGAGATTAAAAAGCTGTGTCAGGGTATGCTTGTAAGGGAAATGGTTTGTAGTCATGTTTTCACATGCATATAGGTAATTTCTGTACACTCCTGTGCACCTGTTTACTTGGACAGGGCTTTGAGCTAGGTCTGGGCTGACCTGATCTAGTGGAAGATGTCCCTGCTCATTGCAGAGGGCTTGGACTTACTCACCTTTCAAAAGTCCCTTCCAATTCAGACTATTCTATGGTTCTACTTAAGAACTTCATATCAAAGTGATGAAAAAATTACATTACTAGGAGGTAAGCTGCCAGTCAGCAATGGAAATAGTTTAATTTTGGTGTTACCTTTAGACACTACAGTACAGTGGTATCTGTAAGACATGGTGTCATTTGCAGAGGTCTTGGTCAATTAGAAACACCAATCATTCAAATTAGCAAATGTATCGTTTCCTATTATGATGTAATTCATATATCATGTTAAAATACTGCATGAACATTATTTTTTTTTTTTGTTCACTGAAGGGAAGTTTAAAGTAAAATATGATCTAAAAAAGCATTTCATATCTTAGAATAATAGAAACATAGCATGGTTTGGATTCTAAGGGACCTCAAAGACCATTTCATTCCCACCTCTCCAATGTAGACAGGGACACCTTCTACCATCTCAGGTTGCTCCAAGCTCCATCCAACCTGGTTTTGAACACTTCCAGGGATGAGGAAGCCACAGATTCTCTGGGAAACCTGTGCCAGGGCCTCACCACCCTCTCAGGGAAGAATTTCTTCTTAATATCTAATGCAAACCTGCCCTTTGTCAGTTTAAAAACATTTCCCCATGTCTTGTCACTATCTGCCTGTATAAAAAGTCAATCTCCCCCTTTTTCATAACACCCCTTTAGATACTAAGATAGAGTCGAAGGTCTCTCTGGAGCCTTCTCTTTCCCAGGCTGAACACCCCCAGCTCTCTCCATCTCTTTACAGGAGAGGTGCTCCATCCATGCAGAAGCTGGGTGCTACTTCCCATGGCAGAAGCAGAGGTCAACAGCTGGCAGACAGAGAGCAGGTAAGCAGAACCTGAATGCTCACCTAAGGCATAATCTGGTTTTGGAATGATCAGCTGAAGGCCCTGTGGAAGACAGAAAGTATCAAAAAAATCAACCAGAGTCCTGAGAAAAAAGCTCAAGCAGGAGCTTTGGGGCCTGAGGTCCCATAGACATCCTCTGGTGCTAGATTTGCCTAAATTTAATTATTTCCCATCAGCTGGAAGGGTGTCCAGGGACATAACCATGATGTATTCACTTTATCTGGGTACATCTTGCTTCACTCTGGCATCTTCAGTGGACGCTGGCCTGGAAGCCAATGGACATTTGTTTTAGTTCCATATATCCATTCTGTGTTCTTATATTCTGTATTTATGGAACAGAAAATTAATTGGGACAGGGAACACACAGATGTTTTGTTTTGCAAGGTTTTAAGTTGCTTCTAGGCAGTTCAACCTGTGTCCCAAGATGTTTGACACATACCATGGTGGGTTAACGTATCTTACACAAACTGGAGTGTCACAAGAGGTATTGCATGAAAAACATGGCATTTTCCAGGAAAAAAGCTTAAACGGGGTTGGAGAGAAACCCTGTTTTATCATTGGGAAATGAAAAGCAGCTGGTTTCTGGTTAGGTTAGATGCCACCAGAAAAAAAAGAGCAATTTTTGGATTGGCTCAATGAATGGTTGAGAAGAGACTTTTTTGTCAGTCTTTTTGGTTAGTCACACCTTATAAAAGAGCATCCCAGTCCTAGAGCCAAAACCTTCAGGAGGGAAGGGACCAAGAGCAAGTCTTGTTTGGCTTCAGGGCTGACCTGATACCTGGTAAAGTCTCGGTTCTTTTCTTTCAATGTCAACTTTTGTTTTTTCCTCAAAAATCCAACTCCCAAACCTCTGTGTTATTAACTTTAATTTGTATGTAACTAAAATGATAAACCTAAGGTTTTGGAAAATTGAACATGTTGAATAAGTAGTTCAAATATATGCTAATACATGGAATGCTTTAGTAAATTTTTCTGCTCCCTAAGTATTAGGAAACTTGATTGGTTCAGGTTACTTTAGAGACATCTGTGGTCGAGAGAAATTGGTGACTTCTCAGTGGAAATCTGCATGTCTATATCTATATATTTCCATTAAATATATAGCCTTTGAATATAAAAACATTATAAATAGTTATACAATATTTGTATGGTGCATAATAGGTATAAAATTATATATTATTTATATATTTCTATATTTTCATATTGTATATAATACATATTTTATATATAGTATTTTTTATTTATGTCTCTACATTAAAACCCTTATTTCATTTTCAGAATTGTTCACTTCAACTCCTTATTTCTCCTGATGTTTTCAAATATATAGAAACTTCTGTAAACTTCTCCTACTAATTTTGAAACAGTTTTGGGTCATCCTTTATCAATTCTGTTCTCAGCCCTAGGACATTTCAGCACAATCTCATTTCCATTCCTTGCTTGAGAGACCACAATTTGTGACAGATCAGAACATTCCTAATGCCAGGATATCAAACATTAACTCCCACTTTTTTATCCATAAGCACCCTGCTAGACTATCTTATCTTATAAAGTTAATCCTAATATTAGTTGAAACTCTTCCAATGAAGGTATCATATGTTTCCTTTTAAAATTTTATTTTCAAATGGGAATTGATTTGATTGTACCATTCTAGAATTGCTACCTGTAGACCAAGTCTGGACATGTTGAGCAAATTGATCTCTTGATAGATTTAAACATTAGAAAATAAACATTTTTTTTTCCCCTGAAGTTTGTAATTTTTACATTATTATCACCTAATTTTGCTTTATGTTGTTTATTTACTAGATAAAATAATTTAGCTAAAAATAAAGTTATGGAAGTACTTAAGACCATGTTGGATGGGACTTTGAACAATGTGGTCTAGTAGAAGGTGTTTCAGCCCCAGGGGCTGGAACAGGATGAGTTTCAAGGTTCCTTTCAATCCAAACCATTTTGGGATTCCATGATTCTGTTCTGGCTAGGGACTATTAGCAAAATGGAAAAGAAATCTGAGCTACCAAACTATTAATGTAACTTAATGATCACATGTCCTAAAAACATTTTGCACCACATAATAGTCAGGGTTTTGCTGATTATTTTTGAAAGCTTGAAGATAAAATTAATATAAATGTAATTGTTATTAACACAGTGTCTAGCTCAGGAGACTGCAGATCCCAGGGACTGTAGCTTACATATTTCTTGGTCCTTTTCCCAACAGTGCCACAGCACATCCTCAGCCATGAAGATCCTTTACCTGCTCTTTTCTTTCCTCTTCTTGGCACTCCAGGTTTCTCCAGGTAAGATGGGAAAGAGATACTAGAAAAAGATTTTTTATGCACCTGAAGAAAAATTCCCGGCACATTTTAACCACTTCTCTTCCAAATTGCTACAAGACAGTCAGGAATTAATCAATCAGCCCAGTGCTTGTGCTAGACCTGCTTTGTAACCTCACTGCCCACATGGCCTTTCAAAACAGCCAAGGCTGTGACAAGACAGCTCAAGGAATGAGAAACCCTTCCACTCCGATTCCCTACCCTGCAGAGCAAGGGGGAAGGAAACATTTTGTTCTCATTGCAGGTTTGTCTTCGCCCCGGAGGGAAATGTTTCTCTGTAGAGGAGGGAGCTGTCACTTTGGAGGATGTCCCATCCACCTGATTAAAGTTGGACGTTGCTTTGGGTTCCGCTCCTGCTGCAAATCGTGAGTTTGGCTTTCACCAAGGCTCATCTGCAGGATGAGCAGAGAAATAGTAAACATTTTGCCTGCCTCCTAAAACCCCAAGGTATTCCTGAATATTTAAATTAGGTATAAGGAAAAAAAAAACCTATTATGCCACGAGGACAGTCAAGTGTTCTGTGTTGACTCAAGTGTTACATGTTGCCCAAGAACCATTTGGAAAATGCTCTTAGGCACAGGGTGAGGTTTTTGTTGTAAAATTAAATTATCATAAGAAAATAGTCTTTTGTTTTCACTCAGGAATGAATGCACTCACCCCAGAATCCAGGGATATCAATTTAATTCCCTGTTTTTCTTAAACAATAGGGCAACAATCTCCTTACTCACAGGTATGATTGCATAGAGCTGTCCCAACATGACTACAAATTACATGAACTGTTTTGGGAAGAATTTGTGTCCAGGAGGAAAAAAAAAAGCATGGGCTGAGAGTGAGTAGGCAGGGAATATAAGCAGAAAGAAAATCTGATTTATTTTTCCTTTGTTCAGGCCATGGAACGTAAAAGAAGTTGATGAGCCGTTCATTGAAGAGTAAAGAAAATTTCTTCTAAGCCTACAACTTTGCTTGGAATCTCCTTACTCCTAAGCCCACTGGATCCTGCTGCAAAGCTTCACACTCCTTTCATTGCCAAAGCAAAAGCCTTTATGATGTAGAGTAAATCCAAATGTGTTCTGCATTGCTTTCCCTCCTTCTAAATAAATTGTTGTTGCTTAGCATTGGTCACTGAAACATGCACTGAAACTGTGGTCATGATCCTGCCTGGGGTTTGACACACAAACTCCACAGGGCAACAATTTATGGTGCGAAATGCTCCTTGATTTGAGTTTTTCTGAGTTATACAGCTCTCAAGGTCTACACAGCCGTTAACCTACATGCCAAGAGAAAGGCGGTTAAAGAACTCAGCTTCCCTTTGTCGGAAAGTGTTCAGATGCCAAAATCCCTTATTTCTTACTGTGCAGAAATCTTTTCTTGGGAAAACATGAATGGTTAAAACCCCTCATTCCCCGCCTGGATGCCCTGGGCCCAGTGTAACACTCCTTGCCAGAGACCCTGCTGGGAGCTGTGCTGCTCCACATCCCATCCTACCACATGGCAGCGAGGGAATGAGCACTTGGGATGATCCCGTGGGGACACCTCAAGGAGACCTTTATGGACCTTAGAGGCGACATCACATAGCAGTCCTCTGGATCAGATGGGTAACCAGCCCTGCAGGGTGGGAGCCAGGGGTCTTCTCCTCTCCACCCACCTGGACACACCTTGAGGTTAGAATGTCTGTCCTCTGCTAAGGCTGACCTCACCCTCTGTGGAAAATGCCTCCATGATCATGATCCACGAACTGTTCATAATGAGTGGCTCTGGTTCTACTGAAAAATATTTCTCTATCCAAGGATGCCGCCCCAGCCAATTCCAAATTTCCAGCTGGGTATGAAGCACTTGGCAGACATGCCAGGCTGTTGCTTATCGGCATTTTCTTCCATCCTGTTTCACTGGATAATTCATCCTCTCACTTCCTACGAAGATGCCTCTATCCTGCAACTGTCTTTCCCCAAAACACATGACATCCTTAATTAAATATTTCAGATTTGTCTCAGCACGATGGCTTGGTAGCAGAACTTGGCCCAGTGATGAAGTTATGGAGCAAAAGGCTCAAAAGATTTATTCATTTTCTACCTTACTCAAAAAGTAGACCCATACATAACAAAACATAAACCACAGAGATTGAGTTATCTAGGAGTGTACAGCCTGGAGAAGAGAAAGTGTTGGGGAGACCTTGGAGCCCTATCCAGAACCTCAAGGAGATGCAAAAGAGCTGGAGAAGGACTTTGGGCCAGGGCCTGGAGTGACAGAACAAGGGAGAATGGCTTCAAAGGCCGAAGAGGACAGGGTTACATGGGATATTGGGAAGAAATTCTTGGTTCCAAAAGTTGTGAGGCCCTGGCACAGGTTGCCCACAGAACCTGTGGTTACTTCATCACTAGAAGTGTTCAAGGCCAGGTTACACAGGGCTTGGAGCAACCTGGAATATTGGAAGCTGTCCCTGTCCATGGCAGGGTCTGGAAAGAGATGAACTTTCAGATCTCTTCCAACCCAAAACATGACAGAGGTGATTCTGTGAAAGAAGAATTCTGCTCCCCCAAGACCACACTAGTGCTGGTGCATACACCCACCAGTTCCTGTGCCCATACCAAAGTTTTCCCTGCTGGCCCCACAGCCCGTGACAGCTGTGCCGCGGGTGTCACAAGAGGTGTTGCGTGGGGACAACGGTGACATTGATTGCAACAGCCCCAGGAGGCACCTCAGCCTCTGGCCCTGCAGCAGGGAGGGACCAGGGGCAGCCCCAGCACCCCACAGCCATGGGGCACTCCTGGGTTGGCCACTTCTGCCAACAGCCATTGAGGTTTGTCTCACCCCCTGGAAACGGGGCAAAACCGGCCTGTTTGGGGCACAGAGACACTCCCTGATCTGGACTCTTCTCAAAGGTGATTCCAGCTTGGTTTCTTACAGACCATTTCTGCCTTGGTGTGCTCTGAAGCTACACCTTTCTCAGGTAGGTCACTGGTGAGTCACTTCTGGGCCACCAAGACACTTCCCTGCCCTCTTGATTCTTCCCGGGTCAGTGCTGCACAGGAATGCGGAGTGGGCTGGCTGGGAATCCTGGGAATAATCTGGAGCAGAGGATGGATACTTGCCAGCTGAGCTAGGAAGACTTTCCTGCCTTCAGGGGATTCTGCAGGGTGTTTGGGCAGCAAGCTTTGGGCTCTGTGGTGGGGTGAAGTGCATTGGAGAAGACTTCATTTAGCTTGGCCTCTCCAGACACAAAGGTTCCCCTAAATCCTTGACCCTGCCTTGGTTCTTGGTGTGTTCGCTCTGCAGCCCCGAGAAGAGCCAGGACAGGCATCAGCCATGAGGATCCTCTACCTGCTCTTCCCCTTGTTCCTCCTGCTGGCCCACAGTGCTGCAGGTGAGAGGGACAGAGGGGAGATGGCTCAGGTGTGAACCCCCATCAGAGGGGTTTTCCAGCTCCTGGAAAATGACCACAGTTCTCAGAACATTTGGGAGGGATTTGCTGTGAGGAGGGTCTGGGCTGCTGAGGATCCAGCACAGCAACTCCTCTACCTCCTGCTGGTCTTTCCCTCTGTCTTTCCCCACATGCACACATTGCTGTAGAAAAATGAACTCTGACTGGAGAGTTCAAGATGTTGGGTTGGGTGCTCAGTTCCCGTACAAGACTGGGACTCAGAGGCAGCAGCAGCTGCTCTGGATCTGGACACCTTTTTGACATTTATTCCACACTCACTTTGTCCTCTTTCACTGTGCAGGATCCTCCTTGGGTCCAACAAACAAGGAACAATGTGAGCAAGAAAATGGACAATGCTCCTTTCTGAAATGCTATTTCCCCTATGGCATTGCGGGAAAATGTTCCAGGTTCTTCTTTTGCTGCAAAGAGTAAGTTTTGGAATTCCAAAAGCTGCTGTCATGGCAGAAGGTGTTTAAAGGCCCCTGAGTCGCTAAAGGCTCAGTGCCCCTGAGGACTCAGGGCAGAGCTGAGGGGAGGGAAGGGAAGGTGCTGGGAGCTGTCCTGAGTGGGGCTGCGGCAGGCCCAGGTCAGCCAGGGCCTCCCCACTCTCCTCCAGTCCCAGGGGGCTAATTCAGGCTCTACAGAGGACTCACAAAAGCCACCAAAGAGGGAAACATTCACTGTCTTTGAGCAGCACCAGGGACATGATCCAGGTCTTGGTGCATCTGCACAGACCTGGAGCCAGGGCTGCCAGCACTGAGACACCCCAGGCCCAACCTGTCTGCACTAAGGACTGCACCTCAGCTCTGCTGAACCTGACTGCTGCACTCACCCTGGGCATTGCAGGGCAGGGAAGAGCGTGGCACGGAATGTTACACATGGTGATGTGATTTTATACTTTGCTTTTGCAGAATGTGGGGTTGACACCTTGAAATTCGCAAGCAGGACTTGCCCTTCACTTCTGGCTGCTGGACCCATGTGCTGATGTCCCCATGTGCTGATGTCCCCATGTGCTGATGCCCCCTCCCGTGGCTGCCTGTGCCGTGCCCAGCTGGGCTGACAGCAGCAGTGGCAGCTGCTCCTGCTGGCTGCTGCTGGGCTGGAGCCCTGTGGTGCCAGCCCCGCTGTCTTTGGGGCAGGGGCTGCTTTTCCCGGCTTGAATAAAGACGAGCACTTTGGCATTGCAGGGCTGGGCCGTGTGTGCGTGTCCTGCTGCTGGAGGGCTGCTGTGCCTCTGCCTCTGGGGCTGGCCCTGCCTTGGTGGCAGCAGAAGGCCCTGGGCATGGTGCTGGGGCTGAGCAGCGCGTGTGTCCCTGGGGATGCTCCTGCCTGGCCGTGCTTTGGGGACGCTGAGCCCGGCAGTGCCTGCTGGGCCAGCCTGGCTGGGGTGCCTGTGGTGGAGCTGACTGCAGATGCTCCCTCTGGGGGAACTGGATCCTTATCCTGGTGTTTATAGGCCCAGATACCATTCTTTTCTCCTGACCCCACTCCCATGCCAGAAGAACATGGACTGGGAACTGTGGACATAGTGGCAAAGCCTCCTCCCTAAAATACCCTCAGCTTTGTTACATGGTCCCCGCTCCAGTCTGTTGTGGTGTGATTTTAGGGTTTACCCCAGAACCCCGGTTTATCACTTGAAGGTGTGCTCCCAGGTGTGTTAATCACTCCTGTTTTCCCCACCCTGACTCCTGCTGAGCACAGTCTGTCACTCACGGCATTCCAGAAGTGCGTTGAGTGATTGGGCAGATTCAAAAGTTGCCCTCCAACCCCAGGGGACTTTGGGCAATCCAGGTGTCCTTTGTCCACTGAGACCTCCTCTCCCATACCTGGTTGGTGGGGTCCCTGTCCCTTCCTCAGTCCCCTCTCCCAGGTAAAAGAGAGGGGAAACACGCTGTCCTGAGTTCTGGAGATCTGATGGAGCAGTGATAGGATTCGGAGCTCTTCTGGAAGATGCTGCTACATTCAGAGGCCTGCGGGCCAGAATAAAAACTCTGGATTAAACCCTCCATCCCTGGGGATGCTCCTGCCTGGCCGTGCTTTGGGGACGCTGAGCCCGGCAGTGCCTGCTGGGCCAGCCTGGCTGGGGTGTCTGTGGTGAAGCTGACTGCAGATGCTCCCTCTGGGGGAACTGGATCCTTATCCTGGTGTTTATAGGCCCAGGTACCATTCTTTTCTCTGGACCCTACTCCCATGCCTGAAGAACATGGACTGGGAACTGTGGACATAGTGGCAAAGCCTCCTCCCTAAAACATCCTCAGCTTTGTTACACAGTCCCAGCTCCAGTTCCAGCTGCAAAAGCTGCAGCAGGAGCCATTCCTTAAAGGGATGTGCTCTGGGGGATGCCATGGAGGACAGCCTAGAAATACAGAGAGCTCAGAGGTGATTCTTGAGCTTGGCAGGGAGAATATAATTCCCTTAACGAAAAGGTTTGCTTTGCCTTTAGTCTGAATTATTTCTATATGGAATACTCACTATCCACAGCACAGCTTTGCTGTAGCATCATGTAAATCCTCCCATCTTTCTGTACATTCAAATCAATTCATGGTTCTTCTCCCTGCTGCTGCCTGCAGTATCAGGAGCGGAGCACAGAGGCCAGGCTGGAGGCACCGGTAGCCCAAAAGTTCCTTTTCCTATTTCTCCCTCTGCAGCACAGAAAATGAGGCTTTGGTTTCCTATTCTGATGCCTCTGACAAGGACTCCCAACCCAGGGCCTTTTGTCATCCTACCTTGTGTAAGGACCCTGCGGTGCTGTGGTTTGCTGGACACATCCAGGGACACAGGGACACATGCTGGGACACAGGAACACAGACCCTGCTCCCTGGAAACCAGCACTGACCTGCTGCTCTGGCACAGAGTGGAACCTTTTCTGATTCCCTGTAAAAAACCCTCCCAGTTAACCCACCACCAGAAATGCATGAGGGTGCTGCCTCTGCTTCTGCGGAGCATACAGAATTCTTCTCCCACATTTCTTATGATTGTCACCTTGTCACTGTGAATTCACATCTCCAAGTATTGAAGCAGAAAAAATTGAGATGCCAGGTTCCACTGCCAAATCCCCAGCACCTCAGATCAGATTTGAGTACCAGATGGCTCTGCCAAACACCTGGAGAGGAAATTGCCGAATTGGGCATATGGCACAGACACTCCTGCCTGGCAAGGACTGCCGCTTCTCCCAGTGGCATGGCTGGCATCAACATCACTGGATTCACAAGTGATGGCTGCATCCAGCTTGCATTTCTTCACCTTGGCTGGCATTGGAAGGAGGCACAGTTTTGTTGGATCACCTGGTTTACAGAATTTGTCATCTGTCCTGGTGTTGCCAGGAGAGGAAATAGAGGGAACCCTGCTTATCCCCCTGACATGGCAAGTGCAGAGTCCTGTTGTCTCATAAGATGTTCTTGCAGTGTCCAAAATGGTTTTCCACATTGTGAGAGTTTTTTCACAACAGACACTGGTTCTTCAATCAGAGGAGAAGAGACATAAGAAAAGGACAGGAGAAGAGTGAATGGTTTCAATCAAACAGGGGGCAGGGTGAGATGGGATATTGGGAAGAAATCTTTCCCTGTGAGGGTGGAGAGGCCCTGGCACAGGGTGCCCAGAGAAGATGTCATTGCACATCACTGTGTTGCAGCATTTTTGAGAGAAAGAGGACATGAGTTATGAGATTTGTGCTACTCCAGTCTAGGCCTCAGATTTAGGCCTGGTGAGGCCTTCAAGCCTCTGACGCAGTTAGACATTCAGAGCTTGTGGCGCAGATAGAAATAGTCTTAAGGTGTGATGGGGACCACTGGGTTGTCTGGGTGTGAATTAGTATAGGTTTTATAGTGTAAGGTGTAGGCCGTTTTAATGAAAAGGTAAACAATGTTAGCCTACCAATCAGAGTGTCTTTGTTTTTGTAAACTATGTAGAAGCTTATATAAACTACCACCTTATCTTGAATAAATGGAGAACGCTTGATTAACCACATTAGTTCAGACCTGCGTTTGTCTTGTCCAGCTTTCTGTTTTTCTGAGATTCCCTGGCTTTTTCACTGCAACTGAGCAAGGCCAGGTTGCATGGAATTTGGAGCAACCTGGGAGAGTGGAAGCTGTCATGGCCAATGGCAGGGGGTGGAAAGAGATGAACTTTCAGGTCCCTTCCTACTCAAAACAGTGCAGAGATGATTCTGTTAAAGAAGAATTCTGCTCCACCAGGACTGGATTGGTGCCTGTGCCCGCACCCACCAGCTCCTGTGCCCATCCCAAAGATTTCCCTGCTGGCCCCACAGCCCGTGACAGCTGTGCCGCGGGTGTCACAAGAGGTGTTGCGTGGGGACAACGGTGACATTGATTGCAACAGCCCCAGGAGGCACCTCAGCCTCTGGCCCTGCAGCAGGGAGGGACCAGGGGCAGCCCCAGCACGCCACAGCCATGGGGCACTCCCGGGTTGGCCCAGGGCTCTTGTGCCAGCAGCAAGTGGGGCCTGTCCCACCCACCAGCACTGCTATAAACCCAGCGAGTTTGGGGCACAGCAGCATTCCCTGGCCCCACGGGCATCTGGACACAGCCATTGCTGTTGGGTTTCCTGCTGCCTGAACACCAAAGCCTTTGTCAGGGAGGTGAGTGTGGGGTCTCTCTCTGGAATCCTGCCCACTCAGGGTCCTGCCTGTCCCCATTCCCTTGGTGTCCCCTCTGCAGCTCTGTGAAGACCCGGGAGAGGCAGCAGCCATGAAGATCCTGTTCCTGCTCTTCCCCCTGCTCCTCCTGCTGGTCCAGGGTGCTGCAGGTGAGAAGGGAAGAGGGGAGATGGGGGAAAGTGTCAGCCTGCACCAGTGGGAATTCAGTGTCCCTGGAAGTGACCGTGATTGTGGGAATGATGAGAATGTAACAGAGGACTGAAATCAAAGG